CATACTCATTCTTTTCTATTTTATTTCTTCTCTTCCTCTGTCCTTTTCGCTCCCCTTTTTCGTTGCTGTAAATTGCATGTCATGTGCATATAATGCACCGTTTCCCCCTAGATTGTTAGGGAGTATCATGAGTATGGTGAAAGAAGATATAACAACAAATTGACAATAACAATCGATGTCTTTATTTGAAAGTTGGGCACAATTATATTAACCCCTCTGATTTTATTAGGGGCTACCTTCTCTGTTAAGTTAGGAGTCACAATCTCTGTTACTTTCACAATCCATCTTGTTCTCGGTCTATCTAGTTCTAGCTGGTGCTTGAGCTACTGTCCTGTCATTCTTTATTTGGGATATTTAGCGAAGTTAAAAGACCTGCAATTGAGAATAGTAATGAAAATTCCGCTGTTAATAGATACTAACTTATCTCCTATTCAGTGGAAATTAGTTCATAATGTTACCAGAAGTACAATTCTTTTCAACAGACACTTTTGATTAACAAAGAATGTCTGTTCCCGCTCTATTACAACTATTGAGTGTTTGTTTATATTAGGCCATCAAAAGTTGTTGTGGGAGATGTTATGCAGGGGACACCTATATGCATTACATTTAAATTTTCCTTGGTTAATAGTTCTTAAATATAATTCATTTGATTGTAAAAAGATAGCAGTTAGTAACAATATAGTGGGCTTTACAAGGCTCTTAACAGTAGATAGGATGGGAACTACCTAGCGTGATACGAGTGTATCTTCTCTTCGGAACTTAGCGATCTTCATGGGAGCTTGAGGATAGATGATTCTCATGATAACATGAGAATAGAGGTGTCAAACAGTACAAGAGAACGTAGGAGGAAGCGTGGAACGAGACGACGAGCAGAAGAATCGAAGTATCCAATTTTCAGCCTGTGAGTCGACTCATAACAGTCATGAGTCGACTCATCGCTGGTTTCTGAGTTTTGTCCAGTTTCTGACAAGTCGACTCATCTCAGTCATGAGTCGACTCATCGATGGTTTCCTGGTTTGTTTGGATTTATGTTCACACGAATTCCTGTTGATTTTGGGTCTGGTTATTTACCAAATTGTCGTTCACGTTTGTACACCTATATAAAGGATTGTTTTAGGGTTTCTAAACAATCAGAGAGAATCAGATAGATTCAGAGAGAGATTCTAATCATTGTATTAGGGTTTAGTGAGAATTAAGAGTTTGTCCTCGATTCTAGTGAGATTGTGAGAGAGAGATTGTAATCTTTTCATACTCATAATCTAGAGAAAGTATTTTCCTTCGCCATCTACTGAATTGTGCTTGTGTTTCTGTCATCCTCTTCTCAACCCACCTTTGATAATTCCGCGATCAAAGGTGCTCGTACGGTAACTCGTATCATAGCGTCCAACTATTGGATGTGCATATGGAGGAAGGAGGAAGAAAAAAGTGGTGACAAAGAGAATGGAAGAAAATGATGAGCAGAAGATGAGGAGAAAGGTAAAAGCTTAAGAAGGAATGATCTCCCCATTGATTTACTTGTATATTAAAAAATGAGGAGGAAGGTAGAAGATTTAAAGGAAAAAAGAGTTCCCCATCGATTAGCAATTAACCAGCATATTTGATTTCGACGACTTTGGTAACCCTGTGACGTC